TTTTTTTTTTTTTTTTTTTTTTTTTCTTCTTCGGCTAGGGATCAGCAATTGACCGAATATTGGGAGAAATAGTTCACAGCAAGTCCATGACGACTCCAATAGACTATGTCTTGTGTGTAGGCCATTTTCTTGGGAAGGTAAAATTGGTTCTTACAATTTATAGAACCCAAGTTCATAAGTTTTTTAACAATATACTCATTCATATAAGGAGATTTTAAAGGATGTAGTAGTTTACTTTTTGTCTGATCGTTCCATGTCTAGTTTATCAGCTTATGATTGTATATTACTTCTTTTCTAGCCCTTCCACTCATTTAAAATATTTATCTCACCAGGATGAAGATGTTTACACATTCTTTGAGCCTGAACTACCATCGGATACCATAGGCATGGCAAGATCAAAGGGAACTGACGGACTTAAGTTAACGGGGGAGAGAAGATCTTCCATCAAAGTTCCTGCAAGTAGGAACGGATCGACATCGCCTCACAATAAGGCGCGGTCGAACCTGGAGAAGAAAACTTCAAATCATAATTGTGCAAACGGTCGTAAACCATCACCGGAGAAGATTCAATGGAATGTGCTCGATCTCCAGGCTGAGAACTACTTCTCTTGTGCCGTCGGACGATCTCGGACAAATGCTCGATATATGCTCGGATCATCAGATGATGTGGTGGCATTCCTAAAGGAGTTGGCAAGTGCAAAGTCATTTTCTTGAGACCCAAGTATGTGCTTGCTTGCTTGCTCGCTCATGTTTATATCTAAACTGGTGATCATGCTCGAAATTGTGCGTTTGGTGTCTTTTTGCTCCACAGTGTCATCACAGTGTCTTTTTCGTTTTGTTGCTTCGTTTTTACCCTCAGCTACTTTATGGAATCTACAGCGTTTAATATCCCCAACCCTATTTAGTTACATAAGTCAAGTGTTCCATCTTTTTCAAAATTAAATTATTATTATTTTCTATTACTAATTGTTGAATACATGTAAGCCAAAATGTGGATGAAGTTTATGATATGGAAATTGAAATGGCCTTTTGGTAATTATTTTACATCACATAAAAATCAAACAAAAGACAAAATCCATAAAAGTGTGTATATGTATGTATGTATGTATATGAAAAGCCATTTCTTCAACTTTTATTTGATAGATATTAAAGAGTTATATTTTTTAATGGTACAAATTTATTGACAATAAATAATGGCTTTTATTTCATTGGCTCTCCTTTTTTGGGTTATTTATTTTGTACTTTTAAAATAAATAAATAAGTAAATAAAAGGGCCCACATGCATTGTTTGAAATGTAATATCTCTAATTTGTTTGAGAATTTATATTTAAATATTGGGTTATTTTCAATATATTCCTAATTGATTGATTGTGGTTTTTTTTTTTTTTTTTTTTTTT